CACACACACAAGTATAGAATTGGTGTATATGGAATAAATTCCAATAACCAAAAAATACTATTCTTAAAAGTGTGCTCAATACAGAGTAGAGCAAATATAATTTATTTGAAAATTATAACTTAAATATGTTATAAAATCACTACATATCTTATCAAATGATGGTGTTGAATGTAGAATAAAGAGTTTTTCATTCTGGTGTCTTATCAAGTGATGGTGTTTAATGTAGAAAATAAATATATATATATATATATAGTCATTATGTTATCGACAAAAGTCTTTGGTAATGGCTAATGAAAGCTAAAAGTACTAAGACTTGTGAAAATTTATTTTTCACTGGAAACATGATTACATTTAATTTTATTATTATCTCTCTAGTCACAGATATCAATATAAAGCACACATCATATCAATGAGCTGTATCATTTATTTCAGATGTTATAATTGGCAGATGCAAATATTGAGACTCTGGTAATTGTGAGACATTATTTTAAACTGGGCTTCAAAACCACTCAAAATCTTACAAAAATCAGAAAAATGGAAGGAAATGAAACAGTATCTGATTGTCATGACCAAAACTGTTTAAGTGTTTTAAGAATGGGACATGTTGCTTGAAATATAGTCCAGAAGTGGATATATATCAGTTATGATGCTTTTAAAAACAATTTTGAGGAGAACCTAAATACCAGCATTAAAAAACGAGTTAGAATCACTAAAAGATATAATATATATAGCATTGCATAAACTATAAAACAGGTTTTGGGGTAAAGGGCCATAAATTTTCAGAAGAGCTAGGATCATTAAAAGATATATAGTACATTAAATAAACTTCATAAAACCAGCTTTGGAGTAAATGTCTACAAATTTTCAGATGAGCTAGAATCATTAAAAGATATAATATATAGTGCATAAAATAAACTTCAGAAAGCATCAAAGCATTGATTAAAAACAAAAATACTTTTAATACATCTAAATGAGAATGAATAAAAAAAAAACATAACTGACAAATTCACTGCTTAATGTTTAAAAGGTACGGAGAGTCAATATTTACACTCAAATATCTTACAACCAATAGAGCAAGTGTTTATAATGTCATCAAATAAAAATGAATTAAAAATAGAAAAAAAATTGGCTTGTAAATATGAGGACCATTATTTTGGGTGGTTCTTTTCTTCAGACACATAGATCCATGCATCAAAATGTATTTATAGAGCTTTGCCATTTTTATAGAAACATCAAAAAAAAAAAGATTTGTCAACCCCAACACATCAAGTGACCCATAAATCATTTCTTAACTTTTTCTTTGTAATCTGTTTACTGTACACAAAACCTGCAGAAACCATGACTGCAGATGAAACATCATCAGATTGAAATGTCCTCTATAGTTAACATCTTTGGCCATAAAAAAAACACAATAAAATCACTAATGCATTTATTTTCAAAATGTCTTATTAATCTGAATGATAGAAAAAAAGAGTAATAAATTTCATTTCCATTGTTTTTATCATTTTGGCATTATCTTAAAAAATGATTGTATCTTTGTTTTTACTTTTTTTACTCTAATGGATAAAAGGGGCAATGGTCTTGAGCTTTGAAATAGATAAAAGGGGGAATTTTCCCAAGCCTTCAAATAGATAAAAGGGATAATGGTCTCAAGCCTTCAGAAAGAAAGAACATAGGAAAACAGTAATATATGTTTATACATATCATTCATTATATAAATGAATATATTCTAGTTTTGGTTAACATGTATTAGATACAGACTTACTCATAAATGCCATATTTTATGCATTTCATATATATATATATATATATATACACACACACACACACACATATATATTATTCAAATAAATTTTGTTTAATATACTGATAACACCTTATTCTTAACAATGAGTGTGATAGTTGAAAGTATTTGAATATAACAAAGAAAGAAAGAAAAAACTTTCAACCATTTATTCATGACTTCAATCCCAATGTACAAAACCTCATTTGGAAATTAGAAAGATATAATAAAATGTGAAATAGACAGACTGTATAAGAAGAATTTAATAAAACCTATTTGGATGAATTCTTGCAGCTGTTTAAATTTTAGTTTATCTATCTATCTATCTATCTATCTATATATATATATATATATATATATATATATATATATATATATATATAAGATAATGCTATATATTTTATATATCAAGAAAAATATTGGGAACAAATGTATGACAAAGTGAAAAAAGTTTTATATGTGACATTTCATTATTTAGGATTTCATTGGACTAAATTTGTTATGTTCGTTTGACTACACTTACACACAAATGAGAGATGCTGAGGATTTTTAATTTTCCTGGTAGATTTATTTATACAGTGTGGGATATTTAATAGCAAAAGGGATGAAAAGAAAAAGAATCTAAATAAAATTAGCGAGATTAAAAGAAATAATTAAAATTTAAAATTCCCAGCATCCCTCATTCGTGTACATATGTAGTTGCACCAACTTAACAAATTTAGTCTGATGAAGTCCTAAAGATCAAAACAAATAACACAAAAAAAACACTTTGTCATATATATATATATATATATATATATATATATATATATATATATATATATATATATATCTCCAGGTAAAATGAGAACAAATGAAGAATAATTCTACTGTCCATAACATTTATGATATATATATACTTGACTCTCCCATTGAATTCGATGTATGAGGGTCAAGCAGATCAGTTCCTAGGAACCGACAGCCTGACACCAGCACATAAGATTTGATTATAGTGGTGAAGGTTTTGTGTAGAACCATCCACACTAATTGAAGGGCCAAATACAGAGACCTGGTGCACTACGTATGACAAGGTCCCCAATCAACCCTCTACAGGTTCTGAATTCAGAGTTATCCTTCTCCGAGACCATTTGCCATCCAAGGCGATAGAACCCAGTCTGTCCTGCTATTTACCCATAGCCGGGGGGAGAAGAAGAGAATTAATACCTTTCCCAAGGGTATTGGCACGTAAGGTGAATGCAATGGATTTGAATTGAGTTCTCTCAGTCACTGTGTGTTTATCTAAAAATAAATACACTTAAATTCCCCTTCATCCCTGCCGTGCGCCAACGGCTTAGTGGTAGAATCCCCAACTGACACCAATTCAGTCGGCTTTTGATCCTAGCTAGAGACAACCAGATGTCTAGCCACACTGATGAGCTGTGATACAGCGAAACAGTCTGTCTGTTGATGACAATATATATATATATATATATATATATATATATATATATACACACACATTTATTAAGACATGTCTCATTAAATAAGTTAGACAAGTTTTGTCTACTTATTTTTAATAGGATCCTCTTGTAATGATAGACATGTTTCTTAGCATCCTTATTAAAGGAAGAAAGAAAATTACCTTGTTGATGCATATTCATTTTATTTGAAGTACTTTTGACATTAGCATAATGTCGTCATTAGGGTCTTGTTTTTTCTCAGACAAAAAATTGTTTTTTACATTATGTTTCTCAGACAAAATTGTTGTGTTGATCTGAAAATTAAATTTTTTACATGTAAAGTGAGAAACACTAAGGTTATGTACAGTACAATTTTAAATTTTATCATATAGGCTTGTGTGCAAATGTCAAGGAAGGTCACTAAGTTATTGTAATGTCTAAAATTTTTACAAAAAGGAAAAAAACTATTTAAATCTATTAATTAAAACTTAGATATTTAAACTATCCACTGTAAACATTTTAAAACATTTGTGCAGTATTCATAATTAATTTTATTAAGGGTTGTTTTCAATTTTTTAATATAGGTAGCTTCAAGAATTTTTAGTTAACCTTTATTATTTTCGTGAAAAATTATAGATGTATTTTCAACAAGAATTTTCCTGAATTGCAAATATATATATATATATATATATATATATATATATATATATACACACACACTCACACACTATATCATACTCAGTGGGGATGTACATTTATTTTGTGAATCTTCAAATTAATTACGTTTTTTTATTATTGGCTGTTAATAGTTTTTATAATTCAGTTCATGCCCGAGAGGAAGAAAGGTAGTGGTTGTTGAACAAAGAATCTTCAAGGTTCAGTTTATTCTGATATTTACTAAGTACATGGTTCCATTTGTAAGGAGGAAGTTCCATTCAGACAGCTTCTTCCTAAGAACTGCTTCTTTGTGAAACAAACTCCCATGTGGATGCTTCCCTGAACACTACAATCATAACCTTTTCAAGTCAAAGGTCAATCTTTCTTATTCTCATAATCTTCACTTCCAACCACCTCTGGATTTGCAGGTGGTGTAATGAATAGTGGCTTGGAATGAAAAGTCAGGGAGCTGAGATCAAATTTCACTCAAGTTTGCTACATTCACTTACATGCAAATACCCATGAGGAAGTTATGAATCTGTTCTTTCTTATCCCCAAAAATTGTTGATGCAATATCTGCTCACAAAAAAAATATTCTTACAATCCCAAATATATTTTTGCTTTAAATAACCCACAAAGCCATCAAAAACAAAACAATCAACCAGCCAACCACCTTTTTTTCATATCACACAAACTCATTCATCATAGATATTTTTATAGTAATATTCTACCTTGAGTAGCTCTCAAGTTTTGTATTGGTAGAATTTTAACATATAAAAAAAAAAATAAATAAAACCTAGTTTTCCAGTCTTCTGCCATATTAAAACTCCAGAGTTTTATCTGGGCTCAAATAGCCACACATGGGCTTTATCTGGGTTCAAATAGCTACTCATAGGTTTTATTGGGCTCATATAGTTTTGGTGGGAAATATGTAACTACTTCAGCCATGAAGCAGTCATTGCTACCCAAGTAAATATGGCCTACAAAAGGAATATTCCAGCCATTGATTTATACTAAGTGCCCCAATTTCAATCTGAATTTATATTTACTTTGTTTCTCTATATAATTCCATGATCATCTGTCTTTCTCTTCTTCATCTTTAATCTTCTGTGACTTTTTCAATGAAACTACTCTTGCATTCTTTCTTAATGCTTATCTTATGTCAAGTTAAGTTCAATCAGCCTTTTGATGTTGTCAATGTAGCATACTCTTGTCTCCTCTGGATTTTTTTTATTCAACAAAAGGGCTTTTTTTTAATGCTAGAGTTACTGTCAAAACATCTAAAATGTCAGTTTTCTGAGCTTAATTCATTTTATAAGTCTCCAAGAGTTCCATTCTTTGTGCAGAACATAATAATTAATCCTGAAGAGTTTCACTTATTCAGGCAAGAAAAGAACAAGTTGTTAACTGGCAGAATTTCATATGTTAAATATCTTTGTTCTTTAACTTGTTAAGGAACTGAAATGCTGAGTACAAGAAAAACCAATGATCTTGGCAGTTTGTTTTGTGGTCACCTGACTGGTTGAACTGAACTTGTAATGATTGATTTGCGTGATGAGAACAGAGATCCTCCTCCTAAGATTTCAGCACATCTGACCTTAAGAGATAGCAAAATTTAGCCTTACATTACATTAGCAATTTATATATGAAGAAAGAGAGAAAAACCAAAGTCATTGTTTCTTTTTCGCCCCCCCATATATATTGGATTAATACTAATAAATGTAATTTGTTACTTAGCTGATTGATGCTATATTCAGCTTCATCTGCACCTCAATTGTAGAGTTTTGTAAATTAACTTTTTGGTAATTGTTCAAGCCACTGTTAAGAAAGTTTGCGAGGAAAGTTAATGCCAAAGGCGAAAATTTTTTGGTATGTCAACCTTTTTTTTACTTCAGGTCACACTTATATAATAACTAAAACTCTGGGGCATACTTTAAATTTTAAGAAAGAAAAATTAGTCATTAAATTTGGAAATAGGAAAATAATAAAGAAGTCACCTGAAATAAGCATCTATTTTTAAGACATTACATTGTATATTTAAGTATGCTTGTGTGAAATGTGTGCTTGATATGTCTTGGTAACTTTTTGAATAATACACCTTATATATTATGCCTTGAAGAAAGCAAAGAGGAAAGGTTTATCCCCTTCTTATTAAAGATTAAGATATTTAACATCCTGTTTAAAAGATCAAATGTCAAAGAGTTGACTTAAACATGGAAGATTTTTTAAATATAAAAATAACTCATGAATTGCTGTTCTGTTAACTTGAGGTTCAACTTGCTACATTTCAGGGTGCATCATTAAATTGCTACTTGAGGACTTCATTGGACAAAATTGATCTTTACATTGATGTAAATACATGTACACACAAAGGAGAGGGGGACATTGAAAATTTAAACTTTCAAATTTGAAACATCACTTTGGTCTACTGAAATCTTAAAGGTCAAAGCAAGCCACATGGAAAAATTTGTCTACTTTGGCATTAATGTCCATGACATGATTCTGGTATATAAAAATTTAGATATTATTTTCTGCTATCTATCTATCTATCTATCTATCTATCTATCTATATCTATATAATAACTCTCCCATCACGTTCGACATATGAGGGTCAGGCCGATAAGTCCCCAGGAAACTGACATCCCGACACCGGCACATGAGATTTGATTATAGTGGTGAAGGCCTCGTGCAGGACCAGCCACACTTTTTGGAGGGACGAATACAGAAACCTGGTGCACCAAATGCATGCCACAAGGTTCCCAAACGACCCTCCGCAGGTTTTGAATTCAGAGTTGTCCTTCTCCTAGACCAGTTGCCATCCAAGGCTATAGAACCCAGTCTGTCCTGCTATTTTACCCATAGCTGGAGGGAGATAAAGAGGATACATACCTTTCCCAAGGGTATTAGCACGTAAGTGAAAGTAATGGATTCGACTGGAATTCGAACTCGGCTCTCCGATTCCTCGATCCAAGCCGCTATCCACTGCTCCACCGTGCCTCCATATCTATATATATATATATATATATATATATACACACACATGCACATCTTTCATTAAATATGACAGACAAGGAAAATTTAATTAATCTTTTATTTAGTTTTCCAGCATTTTTACATTTTTGTGCTTAATGAGAATTAAGGAGTAAAAAAAAACTGTCCATTGTCCCAAGTGCTTTTGGCTGCTTCTTTAGCCATTTTCAAGTGGGTTTGTACTGTAATACACAGCCTCTTTTAAACATCTCTCTCCCATATTAAACATATTAAACATATCTCTCCCACTATCAATCCCACCTTATTTAACAGTGGGAATAGAGTGTTGAAAGTTTTTGAAAAAATAGAAAGATGCTCACTCAAATTCTAGCTGCACTCAACTTGTGAAGGCTCAGAATTAACACTTCTACTAGTATTCAAAACAAAACAAAAAAATAAAATAGATCTTCAACAGTTAAAACATAAAGAGAAATTAACAACATCTAAAACACCCCCCCCTTGAAAATGGCAAAAGAAGTAGCTGAAAATGCTTGAGATAATGTGGTCAATTTTTTGCACTCCCTCACCAAACAGAAAAATGTAAGAAAAACTAAATAAAAAAAGTAAATTTTTCTTGTCTGTCATATTTAATGAGATGCTTAAAAGAAAGGTTACTGTCCAAATATACATTAATATTCAAACTTTATAAAATAGTAAATAATAAGAATTTCCTTATAGTTGGTCACATATTTTAATAATTTAGGAAATGTTTATAAATCTATGAAATAAAAATTGTTTTCATATTTATTTCTTTATAAACTGGTAAAGGATAAATATTGTATTGCATTAGTTTTAATACAAATATATTAGTTTTTAGAATGATGTAAATATAAAATTATTCTTGTAGATAAGCAATCTAAATAAATAATGTTTAATATTTTTGTTGTGAATTTTCAAGAAAAAAAAAATGCATAAAATTCACTTTTATCATATGTTTAGGGTTTATTACGATACTAATCATTGCTATTAAGACAATAAATGTTACCAAGGAGAAAAGGTAGTTAAAATAATAGTGTCAAGGAAAAATATCTTTTTGATACTATTTTTTTTTTTTTTTTTTGACACAAAATTTCAATTTTGACAAGTTTTGTTCCAAACTTATACTCTGCTTCAAACTATTCTATTTCAAGTTCAATTTGGGACTAAGCAAGTTCATAATGAAATAGCCAAGTTCAAATTGGGACATAGCAAATTCCAAATGGGATAGTCAAATTCAAAATGGAATGTAGCAAATTTAAAATGGAATAGTCAAATTCAAAATGGGACTCAGCAGATTCAAAATGAAATAGTGAAATTCAAAATGGAATAAGCAAATTTGATTTGGCACTTAGCAAGTTGAAAATGGATTAGGCAAATTCAATTTGGGACTGAGCAATTATTTTGCTAAAAAAGACTTTAAAATTAAATATTTTCATGATAGAATAATAATGTTCAACTAAATTTTACTATTGAAATGTTTTATCATCTAGGAGCAATCAATAAATCAAGAAAATTCATGAAAGGTGTATGTTTTTTGGATACAACATTCAGCGTTTAAAATCTCTCACTATACCTATCTTTTTCAGACTCTGTCTTGATATATGCATTCAGTATTTCCTTGCTGCTTTTTCTTTTGAGATTTTCCCTGTTGTTCCCCAAATCATTTCATTTTGAATAAAACTCTATATACAGTCCATCCATCTCTTTCTTCTCTTCTCCCTGATTGTCTTACCAATGAAAGTGCCAGAAACTCTTTGATACAAATTTATCCATTCAAGAATAGCCTCTTGTAAGGAATTGATAGTAAAATCTATGCAACGATGTGCTCGAATTTTTAATTATGTGATTTACCACCTAGTTGATTTTTTAATCTATGATATTTGTTTATTGAAACGTGCATATAAGTTCAAAAAATTTTTCCATAATGAATTTGCATAGTCCCAATTCAAACTTGCTTATTTCATTATGAATTTGCTTTGCTCCAAATCAAACTTGCTTATTTCGTTTTGAATTTGGTACATCGCATTCTGAACTTGGCTGTTTCTTTTTTGAATTTACTACATCCCATTCTGAACTTGGCTATTTCATTTTTGAATTTGCTACATCCTATTCTGAACTTGGCGATTTCTTTTTTGAATTTGCTACATCGCATTCTGAACTTGGCTATTTCATTATGAACAATTTTTATCTTTTTTTTCACCTCACTGGCAGTACTTTTTGTCTTGTTGATTAGTGTTACATGACCCATATAGATGCCATTGCACCTCATATGTTTATTCATGCTGTAAATGACCACTGGAGTTTCATGGATTCTACTATATGCCATGTCCCTTCAGGATATTGGTGATCATGGCTCTACACCATTTCCTGTCCTTTGTAGCTCTTAATAAATTTTATCTTTTACTTATCTCACCTAAACCCTATTCCATCATCCATTTACTCAAGGTCACCAAGTAGGTTATGCATTGTTTTCCTCTGGCTTTCAACCTGTCCTGTGAGTATCTGATTTTCCAAACTCTCTTTTCTCATTATGCCCCTAAAAATTTCAATTGTTTGTTCCAGATGATAAGTATCAGTGTCCTTTTTGTTTCCATTTTTCTCTAAATCTTTTTCATTGCTCACATGTTTAGCCCATTTTCAAAAAGCATGCTTAAGAGATGACATGTTAAAATTTTTTTCCTTGTGTTCTTATAAATAATATTTGTTTGTGTCTTGTTGGTTAATGTTACATGACCCATATAGATAACATTGTGCTTAGTATGCTTATTCTTGTTGTAAATGACCATTGGATTTTCAAGGATTAATCAAGCCCTCCATCTGTTCAAAAAAAAACCCAAAAACTGTAAGGTCTGCTCAGCCTAGTTAGTGTATAAAAACCACAAATGTGTCCTGTGGGTGTTGTACAAATACAAATGTGCATGAATAGGCATCTGAAAATTCTTTCCCATGTGTTCTTATGAATGATCTTTGTTTTTTCTTATTGATTAGTGTTAGATGACCCATATAGATGACATTGTGCCTAGTATGCTTATTTATGCCATAAATGACCACTGGATTATGAAGCACAAAAATAAAATAAAAAAAAACAAAACACTTATACTTTCATGTTTTCAAAGTACCTAAGTTGGAAGAAAGCCAAAGACTATGGCTGCATGGAAAAGGAACTGGAAAGGGGTTTAAAGGAAAAAGATCAACTGATCCTCCCCAATCCCTAACATACCAAAGATAAGAAGGTTACATGCCTCCTTCTGCAGGGCTGAGCCATGACCCCCACCTTGATTTGAACCCTGATGCCACTGCAGAAATTAAACAGATGATACGAAGCACAAGACTCCACTGTGACAGCTGTAATCTTCCAAACCACTGAAGCAATCTTACAAAGTTGATGTAGCGAATAGAATTCCAGGGATTTTGGATCCTTTTCCTCAAAGACTCAACTACCACTGCTATATTTGTCTTTGAATCTCTCACTTTCTGGGTATGGAACTATTTTTTTTTTTTGTCTATAGATCATCATTCCTTTTACTTTTTCTTTCCCAATTTTGTTACTCCCTCTGCCCAACTTTAACTCTTCTCTTTTCTTCTTTAGTCTTTCATGATTCTCTCTTTATTATTTCCTCCCCTCCTCATCTTTTATCAGCAGTAAATCTTCCTCCTTCTACAAGTCTCTATTTTATCATAAAATTACCTTTACCTTAAACATCCATCCTTGGCTAAATTTACCAATTCTGTCTTGATAAAAAAAAAAAATAAATTGCATTTGGAATTCACTCTTTTACCTTTTTGGGTTTTAACTTCTCTCCTCCCTTCCCTCTCAGTCGTTCCCCTTTTATTTTCCTCCAACATTATTATACTTAACTTTTTTCTTTCCTTTATTGATCCCTTTTTTTTTGTTTCATTTTTTACTATTTTATTCCTTCTTTTTTTCTTTTCTTACACAAATATCATAATATATACATAGAGGTATGTCTTATTGTCCCAAACACAGAAATGTGTGTGTATATATATATATATATATATATATATATATATATATATATATATATGAACAAATAGGAAAACATTTATTTTATTCCTTTATTTTTTCATTGTCAGATTTAATCCATATCTGTTTCAATTTTCGCACACACACACACACACACTTATATGTGTATGTGTGTATTTCAGTAGCAATCCTTCTTTTATACAAGTTTTGTTAAAAACAACTGATTAGGTACTGTGGTTAAGTTTTTTTATTTAATTTTTCTTTTGTGGACATAAATTATATAGAAATTATCCAAATTTTCTTTATGTCTGAGTGCTTTCAGCTAGTCTTTTAGCCATTATCAAGGATGATTTTATTTTTACTTTTAACTGAATGTATGGATTTTTTTATCTATATATCTAGAGTTATAAGAATATTTTGATTTTACAAACACGGTCGGCACATTGTGGCCACGTTCAAAGTTGATGTTATTGAGCGTTGCCTTTTTCTTTTTTATTAATAATGACTATAATTTTTAGCATTTTTTACATGTGGATGAGGCTATTATATTTGCATTATCAATGAGTATGTTGTGAATAGAGTTTGGTAGGTTTCTATGTGTATTTAAATGAGACCTAATTGAGCTATGGTCAGAGAGATTTAATGTGAGTCTTCTTGTTAGGCATATTCATGAATTTGGTTTTATCAGGAATAAAGTTCCTCAAAGGATGTGTGAATTCATAAATAATATCAATTATTTGTAATTTGGATTTTGAAGGTGAGTAATTGTTGTTGACAATGAGGTTAGCAGTTTAAATTTTTTTTTGTAATAGATAATTAATTTAATTTTGTTATTTTTGTTGACTTGTTTTGTTTTACGGCATATAAACCTCAATGGGTTATTTAATGCCACCAAAATTTTCATTGTTGGTGATATTTTTTCCAAATATCTATTTCTGGTAATAGTTTTCCCTTCAAAAATCTATTTCTGGTAATAATTTTCCTTTGCTGGTAATATTTTTTTTAAAAAAAGTATAGCTGGTAATTTTTTTTCAAAAATGTATTGCTGGTAATAATTTTTTGCAAAGTATTTCTGGTACTAAAACCTATTTTTACACATTCATAGTGTTTTAACCCCAGTTTGGGAGTTAACTATTTACCCATAGCTAGGACACTAACAGGTGCTACCATCCCAGGTCAGGGTGGACCTAGGAACACCAGCAATTAAGAGATGGTTCCATGCTCCTCAAAACCTCCTGATCAGAGGCCTTGCTGTAGGATGTAGTTTATTGTCTTACCCAGGACACAGGTGTAGTTTATTGTCATACCCAGGACAAGTTGACTGTAGTTGTATATTTCTTTATAATGTTTTTAAGGGAAGACTCATCCTGCTTATAGTTACTGTGCATTTGATTTTTATAGAAAATGTTAATGTTATTATCTGTATGTTCAGTGTTTCTACTGGTTACCTTAGAAAGAAAAAGTTTAATTTGATGATCTATGAGGTAATTTGGAAAAACGTTATTAACTAGCATCTGTTTCACATTAATTTCTTTAAAGAAATTAAATGTATATATTATGTATTTATAATATACCTGGGTCTCATGGTCAGAAATGTGAATGTTCTAGCCACTCTACAATGTGCCCATTATTATTATTATATATATATATATATATATATATATATATATATATATATATATATATCCAAGTATAGGATTAGTGTATACGGAATAAATGCCAATAACTAAAAAATACTATTCTTAAAAGAGTTCCCAATACAGAATAGAGCAAATATAATTTATTAGAAAATTATAATATAAATATGTTATAAAATCACAACAAAAATAACTATTTTGTTTCAACACTTCTGATGTCTTATCAAGTGACGGTGTTGAAAACCGTCATTTGATAAGACACAGGAGTGTTGAAACAAAATGCATATTTTTGTATTGATTTTATAACATATTTATGATATAATTTTCAAATAAATTATATATATATATATATAATATATATATATATATATATATATATATAATAGAATGATAGGATGAGGAACAAAGAAGAAATGTTTATAATATATGATTGGATGAATAAGGAACAAATAGGAAACATTTATAAATTTGCCATATTTTGCTTTTATTTAAGCTTCATCAGAAAATGAAATATGGAGAAGAAAAGAAAATTTTATTATTGTTTTATTTTTGTATTGTTTGTTTCTCATTGATTAAACAGACCTCACATGTATTTGTCTTGTCAAGCAGTGTTAGTGTGTATAATTCTTGTGTGTTTGTGTATCACAACTCTAGTTTATTTATACATGATTTGGTTGATAATATGTGAATAAAAAAAAAACACTAGAAATTTTTCTCCACCATATCTCATTTTCTGATGGCACTTAAACAAGAGCAAAATATGCTAGATTTGTAAATGTTGATCTTTATCCTATCATATATATATATATATATATATATATATGAAGAAATATAGTCTTAAGATGTGCTATATTTATGGGATAAAGTGCTCAGTATCAGGGATAGAGCGTGTGTAAATATAAAAGTGAACATAGAAGTCAACACTTAGAGGCCACATTCTGTTTCATGCTAGAGGCAATTGTCAGGCCACAATATCTATATTATAATAATTTACATTTATATATATATATATATATATATATATATATTATATATTTTTTTTAGTTAACTTTTCTTTAATTAAAAGAGAGTATATGCTTTTTTTTAATGAGTGTACATGTATAAATGAAAAACTTTTTCTGTCTTTCAGTTTTTACACATACATACTATTTGCCTTCGGGGTTTTAATCCTCATTTTTAATAAATTTATTTAATTCTGTCTTTTCTATTTCAATATTTATTTTCTCCATTTCCTTGCTCTGTTAATTTTTATGTTCATTCCTGCACAGTTTTATTCATTCTTAATCTTTTTTGTTTTTTCTTCCTTATTTTTAGATTTTTTTTTTATTTCAAACCTCCATATTTCTTTTTTCTTCAGTTTTCCCTGTAAATTCTGTTTGTTTTCTATTTGTATCTTTTTCTTTTTTTGATTTACTTTATTTTTTCTATATTTTCCTTTATTCTTTCATATTCTTCATTATTCATTTCTCTTTCTCTAACCCTCATTCTCTTTATTTTTTCTTCTTGCTACCACTTCTTTTCTGTTTCACTGCTTTTTCTATCACTTTTTCTCTTCTGATTTTATTCCATTTGTTTCTTGATTTTTTTTTCTGTTTTTTTGTTTGCTATTTTTATACACTGATTCATTCTTTCTTTCATCATTCTTTCTTGCATTCTGTCTTTTTTTCTTTCTTTCTTTCATGCATTCTGTATTTTTTCTTTCTTTTTTTTTTCATGCATTCTGTCTTTTTTTTTTTTTTCTTTCATGCATTCTGTCTTTTTTTTCTTTCTTTTCTGTCTTTTTTTCTTTCTTTCTTCTTGCATTCTGTCTTTTTTTTCTTTCTTTTCTTGCATTCTGTCTTTTTTTCTTTCTTTCTTTCTTTCATGCATTGTCTTTTTTTTTTCTTTCTTTCTTTCATGCATTGTCTTTTTTCTTTCTTTCTTTCTTTTCTTTCTTTCTTGTCTTTTTCTTTTTTTTCTTTTTTCTTTCATGCATTCTGTCTTTTTTTTTTTTTCTTTTTTCTTTCTTTCATGCATTCTGTCTTTTTTTTTTTTTTTTCTTTCTTTTTTCATGCATTCTGTCTTTTTTTTTTCTTTCTTTCTTTCATGCATTCTGTCTTTTTTTTCTTTCTTTCTTTCATGCATTCTGTCTTTCTTTCTTTTTTTTTTTTCTTTTTCTTTCTTGCATTCTGTCTTTTTTTTTCTTTCTTTCTCTCTTTCATGCATTCTGTCTTTTTTTCTTTTTTTTTCTTCTTTCTTTCATGCATTCTGTCTTTTTTTCTTTCTTTCTTTCTTTCATGCATTCTGTCTTTTTTCTTTCTTTCTTTCATGCATTCTGTCTTTTTCTTTCTTTCTTTCATGCATTCTGTCTTTTTTCTTTCTTTTTCTTTCATGCATTCTGTCTTTTTTTCTTTCTTTCTTTCTTTCATGCATTCTGTCTTTTTTCTTTCTTTCTTTCTTTCTTTCATGCATTCTGTCTTTTTTCTTTCTTTCTTTCTTTCTTTTTTCTTTCTTTCTTTCTCTCTTTCATTCTGTCTTTTTTCTTTTTTTCTTTCTTTCTTTCTTTCATGCATTCTGTCTTTTTTCTTTCTTTCTTTCTTTCATGCATTCTGTCTTTTTTCTTTCTTTCTTTCATGCATTCTGTCTTTTTTCTTTCTTTCTTTCTTTCATGCATTCTGTCTTTTTCCTTCTTTCTTTCTTTCTTTCATGCATTCTGTCTTTTTTCTTTCTTTTTTCTTGCATTCTGTCTTTTTTCTTTTTTCTTTTTTTTTTTTCTTTTCTTTCATGCATTCTGTCTTTTTTTTCTTTCTTTCTTTCTTTCTTTCATTTTTCTGTCTTTTTTCTTTTTTCTTTTCTTTTCTTTTTTTTCTTTCTTTCATGCATTCTGTCTTTTTTTTTCTTTCTTTTCATTCTGTCTTTTTTTCTTTCTTTTTCTTTGTCTTTTTTTCTTTCTTTCTTTTTCATGCATTCTGTCTTTTTTCTTTCTTTCTTTCTTTCATGCATTCTGTCTTTTTCTTTTTTTTTTTTTTCTGTTTTTTTTTTCTTTTTCATTTCTGTCTTTTTTTTCTTTCTTTCTTTCTTTCATGCATTCTGTCTTTTTTCTTTTTTTCTTCTGTCTTTTTTTTTTCTTTTCTTTTCATTCTGTCTTCTGTCTTTTTTTCTTTCTTTCTTTCTTTCATGCATTCTGTCTTTTTCTTTTTTTTCTTTCTTTCTTTCTTTCATACATTCTGTCTTTTTTCTTTCTTTCTTTTTTCATGCATTCTGTCTTTTTTCTTTCTTTTCTTTCTTTCATGCATTCTGTCTTTTTTTTCTTTCTTTTCTTTCTTGCATTCTGTCTTTTTTTCTTTTTTCATTTCTTTTTTTTTTTTCTCTTTTTTTTTTTCTTTCATGCATTCTGTCTTTTTTCTTTCTTTCTTTCTTTCTTTCATGCATTCTGTCTTTTTTCTTTCTTTCTTTCTTTCTTTCTTTCTTTCTTTCATGCATTCTGTCTTTTTTCTTTCTTTCTTTCATGCATTCTGTCTTTTTTCTTTCTTTCTTTCTTTCTTCTGTCTTTTTTCTTTCTTTTTTGCATTCTGTCTTTTTTTCTTTCTTTTCTTTCTTTCTGTCTTTTTCTTTCTTTCTTGCATTCTGTCTTTTTCTTTCTTTCTTTTTCTTTTTTTCTTTCTTTCTTGCATTCTGTCTTTTTTCTTTTCTTTTCTTTCTTTCATGCATTCTGTCTTTTTTTTTTTTCTTTCTTTCTGTCTTTTTTTTTCTTTCTTTCTTTCTTTTTGCATTCTTTCTTTTTTTTCTTCTTTCTTTCTTTCTTTCATGCATTCTGTCTTTTTTCTTTCTTTTTCTTTCTTTTTCTTTCATGCATTCTGTCTTTTTTTTCTTTCTTTCTTTTTCTGTCTTTTTCTTTCTTTCTTGCATTCTGTCTTTTCTTTCTTTCTTTCTTTTTTTTTTTTCTTTCTTTGCATTCTGTATTTTTTCTTTCTTTCTTTCTTTCATGCATTCTGTCTTTTTTCTTTCTTTCTTTCTTGCATTCTGTCTTTTTTCTTTTTTTCTTGCATTCTGTCTTTTTTCTTTTTTTCTTGCATTCTGTCTTTTTTTTTTCTTTCTTACATTCTGTCTTTTTTCTTTCTTTCTTGCATTCTGTCTTTTTTCTTTCTTTCTTGCATTCTGTCTTTTTTCTTTCTTTCTTTCTTTCTTTCTTTCTTTCATGCATTCTGTCTTTTTTCTTTCTTTCTTTCTTGCATTCTGTCTTTTTTCTTTCTTTCTTTCTTTCATGCATTCTGTCTTTTTTCTTTCTTTCTTTCTTTCTTTATTGCATTCTGTCTTTTTCTTTCTTTTCTTTTCTTTCATGCATTCTGTTTTTTTCTTTCTTTCTTTCTTTCATTCTTTCATTTTTTTTTTTTTTTTCTTTTCTTTCTTTCATGCATTCTGTCTTTTTTTTTTTTTTTCTTTCTTTCTTTCTTGCATTCTGTCTTTTTTTTCTTTTTTCTTTCTGTCTTTTTTTTTCTTTCTTTCATGCATTCTGTCTTTTTTTCTTTTCTTTCTTTTCATGCATTCTGTCTTTTTTTTTTTTCTTTCTTTTTTTCTTTTCTTGCATTCTGTCTTTTTTCTTTCTTTCTTGCATTCTGTATTTTTTCTTTCTTTCTTTCTTTCATGCATTCTGTCTTTTTTCTTTCTTTCTTTCTTGCATTCTGTCTTTTTTCTTTCTTTCTTGCATTCTGTCTTTTTTCTTTCTTTCATGCATTCTGTCTTTTTTTTCTTTCTTTTCTTTCTTGCATTCTGTCTTTTTTTTTCTTTTTTTTTCTTTCTTTTTTCTTTCTTTCATGCATTCTGTCTTTTTTCTTTCTTTCTTTCATGCATTCTGTCTTTTTTTTTCTTTCTTTCATTCATTCATTCATTCATTCATTCAATTCCCCTGAGCTTACCTGACTTTCTCAAACCATAATCCTCCACCTACCCTCTCTCAAACTTACTGTTTTCTCCAAAGTATACTTCTGCCCTATTCCCCTCAGAGTCCTCCTCGATTTACCTATTCTATCAATTATTAAAAAAAAACACTTCTCTCTCCTCATCCTTAGACCTCAACTACTGCTTCACTCTGTCTTTCTGCTCATATTTTTGTACTACTTTTTCATATATTATATTTTTTATATATCCTTTTTCTTTCATAATAGAAAGCTTAATTCCCCAAAATAGAACTAAAAATGAATAAAAGGGAATCTTTTAACCTCTTCCCCCCTGTTCTTTCCTCTTTATTCTCCTCAGCCTGCTACTCTTATTCCCTCCCATTATTTGTGTCCTGTTATGACTAATGGGAAGCAGGCATTATATTATTGTCCAAGTTTGAATTGTTTTACTGGTTTTTTTCTTTCTACTTACAATTCTGCATATTTTTTACCTTTTTTTATTTTTAAGGCAAAAAAAAATATGATCTTTATATTTTTCTTCCTTTTCCTTATCCTCAGAATATAATTGTACTTTGCTTTTATGTAAATTTTTGTTAATTTTTCTTTTTTCCATTATTCTAAATAGTCTTCCCATTTTTGTAAATTATTGCTTTTTCTTTTCCCTTCCCATAATTCCTCTGATATTTTCTTAACTTCTTTTTTTATTTCTTCCTATTCTTCATTGGCTATTTGACTTTCATTCCCCTTCTCTTTTTTGTTGCATCATTTCTTTTTCACTCTTTTTCTTTTTTCCAGTATTATGCAAATACATTTTAGATTTTTTATTTCTTTGATTTTTTTTTCCTTTTTTTTTTTTGTATTTCTGAATGGCAAAAGATTTGTCCATTTTTGTCAGAATAAATTTGCTTTGGAAAATCCAGAAAATAAAATCAAAAATGTAAAATGAACCTGGAAAACGTTAAAAAAAAAGAAAAAAAGAGAAGCTAACGTTTTCTTTAATTTTTGGATCTGAAATGTTCTTCCAATATTTTTCAATTTTTTTCTTTTTTTTTCTTCTAATTTCAATCTTTTCTTTTTTTTCTTTTCATGATTTGAATTTTTTCTTTCTTTCTTTTTCTCTTTCTTTATATTTCATTCTTTTCATGCTTTACTATTTTTTTTCTTTTTCTTTCATTTACCTTTTTCATTTTCCTTTCCTTCTTTTCTTTTTTCATTTATTTTTACATTTTCCATTTTCAGTTTTCTTTCTTTTTTTTCATGATTTTTCAATTCTTTCTTTACCTTTTCTTTTTTTTCTTTCTTTATTTTTTCATTTCATTTTCAGTCTTTTTTTTATGCTTTTTTATTTTTACTTTTTTCTTTCTTTTTTTTTTTCTTTCTTTATTTTCACCTTTTCATTTTTCTTCTTTCTTTCATTTACCTTTTTCATTTTCATTTATTTTTTTCACATTTTCCATTTCAGTCTTTCTTTTTATGATTTCAATTCTTTCTTTCTTTCTTTTTCTCTTTCTTTATATTTCATTCTTTTCATGCTTTACTATTTTTCTTCTTTCTTTCATTTACCTTTTCATTTTCCTTCCTTCTTTCTTTCATTTATTTATCCATTTCAGTCTTTCTTTTTATGATTTCAATTTTTTCTTTTTATCCTGATTTTGTCAGTCATTTTCCAATCAGACAACAAATTCTCATTGCTGCATTTACTATTCCAGCTGCATTGATATTATCCCAAATATTTCGTTTTCTGTTTTCAATTTGCCATGCCAAAATTTAAAAATTCAGTTTCTTCTGCTTTATTATTTAAAAAAGAATTCATTATTATTATTATTATTATTAACTTTTGGTATTATCAATATTTGTGCTAAGCTCAGCAACAGTAATACAGACTAGTAAAATAATAAATTCACATTGATTTCTCTTGGTTAAAGCTCATGACAATAAATTAACATTGGTAAAACAAAAACTTGTATTTCAAAATAAATCAAAACCTCACACCTTAGTATCAACCTTATGTTTATAAAATACCCGAATAAAATAAACATTAATATCAATTTTATTTTGAAAAATTAGGTTGGAAAATAAATAAGCGTTAACCTACTGGATTGGTGAGAAGCCTATTACCAAAAAGAAAGAAATACTATTACTTAAAATTCAAAGCAAAAGTGCCCATTATCATTCTTCAGGCTTTATTTGGCTTCTTTCTTTTTTTTATAATTCTTTTGCTATGGGTATTTTTATTGAATTTAGAAATAGGTAATTGGCTTATTGTTCAATCCTCTACTTCCTTTAATGAGCCAAGTTATATGCTTGTGTGTGGTTGTATGAGATTTTACAGGAGAGCAGGTCTGATTTTGAGGTTGATTCCTTTCCCAAGGGCATCAGAATCAGAACTTTTAATTAATGCAGCAAAGGCAAGTTTTTAAACAGTGACAACATCTGCAAAAAATGCAAAAAAAAAAAAAAATACACAACAAAACCTGAACTGATTTTCAAATGAAAGGAGTGTTCCCAACACGGATCTTACAATACGACATTGTCAGGATAAAATATATATATAAATATAAAATATGACACTTTAAGTTAATCAACATGAATTTTTATATTAATGCATATATTGCTAAAGGTCATTAATTAACATTTTCACTGCATTATCTGTTAAGCACCAAATGACATTAATTATATGTTTCCCTTTTTTGACAATTACACTTTGTTTACATTTTGTCGTCTATGCACTGCTGTGACCAATGCCGGATCTATAGTAATGCTTTTTGGATTTCTGGGAAATCCTGACTATTCCATTCTTGACCACTGTGAAAGAAAGAAAAATATTGGTGCTGAAGATGTTGTTAGCATGATTGTATTTAAACAAACTGTTGTAATGGAATGTCCCACACTCCCTATTGCCTATGTGGACTGATGGACTATATCAGTAGATATATATAGTAAGCACAGGATATACCTGGCAGACTTGATTCGGCAATTGGAGATTCGTCTCCAGCTAAACTAGTCAAACTCTCTGTCTTCAGGTAGAGAGGAACCCAGACAAGGCTATGCTGAAGGGCAGAGTCTCATCTGGGGTGGTAGACAGCTACCTGACCCCATGTATACAGGGTCTATGGGGAATTTTTGCTTAAGCCCATGGGCTTGGTTTTAACCCCGCATTAAAAACGGCCTTGTGCCACATCCTGCCTCGCAGGGAGGTGAGGTAAATAACCTTGCTTCAGGAATTATTAGCCTGCTAACCGATTCTCTGTCTTTTAGTAGTGTATTCTCTTTTACAATAAACCTCTCTTTCTTTCATCTATGCCCATATTGTTGTTCCTTTCATTTGAGTACCACTTTTGTCTGTTTATAACCTTTTTAAGGATACAGCACTGTTGAAAAAAGGAAGGGGCTATTTTGCCAGTCCCAGCAAAATAGACAAACATTCTTTTACCGGTCTCAGTAAAATAGACCTCTCAGGCTATTTTGCTTGTAAATGTTTTTATTACTATGGAGGCAGGTAATGTTAAAAATAACAACACACAGATTTAACACAGAAGTTTATTTATTTCCACCATCAATTTTTAAGACAATTTAAAATCTTTCCTGCCATCAATTGTTAAAACAAGTTAAAATCATTTATTCATCATAAATTATTAAAAAAGAATATAGAAATCTCTGAATATTTTAAGTACTTCAAGCATAACAGTCTCTGCAAATCCAAAAATTGCCCTTGGGCATGATTCTCTTGCCAATAGTCATCAGGTGCACCCACTGAAGGCAACCATCACAGGCCACAGAATCCATTTTGTTCAAGTGCTGCCTACATAGCTCATACAACCACTGGGCTGATGATCCCAAGGTTTCATAAACATGACAGTGAAAATAAATTAACTTCTGTGTTAAATCTGTATGTTGTTAACATTAACATTTAACATTACCTGCCTTCATAATAATAAAAATATTTACCAGCAAAATAGCCTGGGGGCTTATTTTACTGAGACCAGTAAAATAAGCTTAAAAGCATGTTTATCTATTTTACTGGGACCAGCAAAATAGCCTACTAAAAAAAAATGCATTGTTGATTTTAGTTCTTTTTCATATAAAATGTACTAAATTTACTGTAAACTTTTCTCTAGTTATCTCAAACATCGATGGCGTGTTAAATAGTCTTGTTTCTAGTGAATAAATTAGGAAGATAAGTTGTAATGTGTGCTTTTGAACAAATTTGTTAGTAGCAAGTTTGATAGACTTGACAAAGTAAAACTAGCAACCGCTATCAAAAACACCACCAATCAGTTGTTAATTGGGGCAAGGAATGGCTTGTAAATTTTAACACCTCCAAAACAAAACTGCTTTTATTTAACTATCACAGAGAACCTTTTCTTTTTGCTAATCTCCAAAAGAGCAACTCTACAATTTTTTGGGCTCATATTTTCCACTAGTGGAATGATTATATTGACCTAATTGTTAGGTCCACTACTAGTAAACTTGGTTTGTTGTCTCATGCTTTTTGTTAGAATTCTTTTTGCACATTTATAAATATCATTCAGCTGTGCATTGAATATTGCTGCCATATCTGGCCTAGTGCTCTTACTATATATCTGAAGGTTCTTGACAAAATCCAAAGAAAGGTCTCTAACCTAATCAATCCTAACCTGGCATTTCAACATCTTTCTTACTGCCATGACACAGACTTTTCTACAAATATTTTCATGGCAATTGTTCTGATGAGCTTTCTTCCTTGGTGACTTGACTGTATGAATTTAAACGTTCTACTCGATTGGAAATTAGGTCTCACAGTTTTACTGTTGAACTAGCTAGATGCTGGTAGAACTCTCTTCTGATTTCTTGCTTCCCTGTCACCTACAATCTTCAAAAATTTAAATGTAACACCAAATGCCATATACTTTCTTCCTGAATTCTGTTCTTTTATTGTCCCATCCTCTCACTAAAGTCTTTTCATTCTTTTTCACTCTCACTAATCCCTTGAATCTCTGTGGAATTATTGCCTTCCTTGAGCTGAAATGATTAAAAAGAAAAGAAAAAAAAAGATCACTGATTGGACAATCATGCAATTTAAAATAATGATGATTGGCAGATTTTAAAAGAAAATACAGGTACTTACATTTTACTTACTCCTTTAAATACAGCAGCCTATTTGTAGAATTTTTGAAGGAATTTCTGAATCTAATATTTCTATTTCTTAAATATTCTCAGTTACAGATTTACATGTAGGAAAAAGGTGATTATAATTTAAACCACCTGACAGGGTAATAATTTATTTGATTACAACTGTACAATAATTAACATTAGCCAAGCCAATAGAAATGCTATGGGTGCTGATAACTAAAAATATCTATTAGTTCATGCCCTTATTTTTTGCCAGTATCTTCTCAATCCTCCCTTATCCCTCCCAATCTTCATTGCCTGTCCATATTTTTATCTAAATGTTATATACAATCATAGATTAGTTTTAGATGCAAAATAGGAATAAAAAATTCACAAATATTTTCTTTTATCATTTTTTTCTTCTGTATCTCCAGAAAGAATTTTAATTTATTTAAAATTTTATAGTCTATTTTTTATGTCATTCTCTCATGTCCAGTCCACAAGCTTGTTTTTTTTTTCTTTTTCTCTCTCTCTCTTTCTTTTGTTGTCATCTCTTTTTCCTGTTTTATATTTTGTAAAGTAGTATAATGTAGTGGTCAATACTTGAGTAGATTGACATGAAGAACCTTCATATTCTTGCCTAAGGGAAACTATTTATAATCTCCACTCTTCACTACTACTACTACTACTACTACTACGACACTATATATTTATTTTTTTTCTTTCTCCTGGTTTCTTTTCATCTTTATCTACCTTTCCTCTTATACATCAACATTTTCCTACTCGTTTTTCGTACCTGATTTTCCCAATTCTTTTCAGTGTAATTTTATTATATAGGTTTTCTTGGTCAGAAGGTGTAACTATTTCCAGCACAATGACCAGGGATTGTGCAAATACTACACTCTGATTTTAGATACAAATCCATAATCAGAGTCTGTCTATATTTCTGAGATGAGGTATTATGTACACTATTTACATTATTCGGACTATTGTCCTCATTTTTGTCGCCATATTTGTCACAACGTTTCGACCGTTGTACGCTCCGGCCTTTCTTCAGGTGGTTGGAATTTCGAACTGAACCCTTTATTTCGATCGCTGGAGTAGACTGTTCTAGTTCCACGTGCCATGTTTGATGGATGTCAGTTATCAGTTATCTCCTGCTAATTTTCCCTCTGAAAGTTCTCCACTGCCTTAACCAGGAATTGAACTCACCTTCTTTGGGTCTGTCACTGGATCTAACCAACGCCTTTATCCACTGTGCCATGTGTCCTCAAGGAGATAACTGATAACTGACATCCATCAAACATGGCACGTGGAACTAGAACAGTCTACCCCAGCGATCGAAATAAAGGGTTCAGTTCGAAATTCCAACCACCTGAAGAAGGCCGGAGCGTACAATGGTCGAAATGTTGTGACAAATATGGCGACAAAGATGAGGACAATAGTCCGACTAATGTAAATACTGTAAATACATAATCATTGTATATACAAAAAAAAAAGAAGCAAAAATCTGAATAATACTATACATTTGTAA